AAAAAAAAAAAAAAAAAAAAAAAAAAAGAATTCCCCCAAGACACGATAAGTACATTAATTTGTGCAACTCTGTTTCATTTTGTGTGTATGTGAAGGCAAACATTAGAGCCTTAACTGATTGAGACGAAATTGCTCTGCATGAGAACCAGAGGGCTGAGAGCTTGCAGCTCCACCAGGGAGCCATGGGCAGATGCGTTTGCGTCAAGGCCTTACTGGGACAGAGGAGACACAGACAAATGGTGGAATGATGTGCCATCACCAGGTCAGAAGCAATGACAATACCTTAAGTCAGACTGGGCCAAGGCCGCAGACCTGAGCTCTCATACTGGCCTGCGGGGCAACTGAGAGCAGGAAATGCTGGGCTTTGAGTCATCTACCCAGGGCTAGGGCCTCCTGCTCAGGGACACCTGGGCACAGGCACTTTCTGAGCAAGTAGAAGACACCCTGCCAAAGAAGCAAAGGAGAAACTGGCCTGGCAGAGCTGTGGGTGCTGCTGGCATCAGCCATAAACCCGAAGCAAAGCTGAGTTCTAGGTTAAAGGTGGGTGGGCATGTATCAAAAAACAAAACAAACAAAACACTAGCGGGAAGAAAAGGGGCTGGGGAAATGACTCCGTCAGTAAAGTGCTTGTGGTGTGAGCATAAGGACCGGAGTCTACTCCAGAACCACATCAAGAAGCTGGGCATGGTGGCATGCTTTTAACCCCAGCACAGGAGGTAGATACCTAGGACTTGCTGGCCAGACAGCCAAGCCTACTCTTTGTGTCCTAGGTCCCAGTAAAAGGACTTTGTCTCAGAACATAAGGTGGAATTTGCTATGTAGACCAGGTTGGCCTAGAACTCATAGGCTATTCTCCTGCCCTTGTCTTCTGAGAGCTGGGATTGCAGGCATGCACCATCACACTAGGCTACTTACTTCATGTAAGGAAAAGGTCTGTCTGTCCTTTCCTCCTCCCTTCTTTACATTTTGAGACCAGGTCTCACAGTAACAGTCAAGGGTGGCCTGAAACCTCTAGGCTTAATGACCTTCCTGCCACCTCAGCCTCTGACTATCTGGGGGTCTAGGTTAATGCTTTATTGTATGTGTATGTTAAGTATGCACACGTGTACAGATGGAGAGAGGAGGACGTTGGATGTCCTGTTCTTCATTCTTTGCCATATTCCCGAGACAGTCTCTCACCAAAACTGAAGCTGGACTAACAACCTCTAAGTCCCAGCAATCCTCCTGTCTCTGCTCCCCATAGCAATGGGGTTACGGGGTTTTCACACGGGTGCTGGGGACTTGAACTCAGGCCCTCATGCTCACATAGCAGGTACTCCTTACCCTTGAGCCATCTTGGTCTGGTCCCTTGCACTTTTCACAGTTGACTAGATTTGCTTCATCTCCTGAACAGCAAGTGCTTGCCCCAGGCAGCAGGCACTTATTCATGTTTGAATGAGGAGACACCCGGCAAGGACAGGTCAGCCTTGGGTGAAAATCCTGGGGCAAGAGCGGGAGGCCCTCCAGCCTGGTCAGAGCCCTGGATGGTGCTCGCCTCGCCTCCTCGTCTGCCAAACATACCTCCCAGGAGTCCCTCCTGGCCCTGACACCTAGCAATCTAGGATTCCAGAACTGTCTTCAAATTACACTTGATTCGACTGGCTGCAAATACTTTGAAGTGTAATTACTATTATTTAGTATATGTAAAAGGTTCTGAGCTCTGCATTAGGGATGTGGTCTTAGGAAAAGGACTTAGAAGCCAGCTTCTGCTCGGTTGCCTACAAGTCCATTTGGGACAGAATGGATAGCACATGGCTCTATGAGTTGGGGCAACATCGAGTTCCAGGCCACTGGGCTTCAGTCCATAGTAGAGAGACAAAGAAGCGACTGTCAGCCTAGGGGAGCCTCAGATAGGACTCTGTGGATCCCTGGGCTCTTGTGTAGTTGTTGGGAGGCCAGAGTTTTGTGAACTGGTCCTTGTCCAGCTGGGCTCCGCTAAGGCACATAAGCCTACAGAGGTGGCCTTGACTGTGAGACTTGACCGCCAAGCCCTCCACAAGGAGCACCTAGCAGCACTGGGTGGTGTGCAGTCTTGGAGGTCCCAGGTGGTGAAGCAGTCCAGTGGGCAGACAGGAGCAGGCAGGCATCTGCCAAACGTGTAGGGGGAGGGACACAGAGAGGGAAATGCCAGGGGTGGTAGCGAGGTCAGACTCAGTTTCCCTGCCCCAGGGATCTAGGGGCAGGGCTCAAAACTGACATGGGTTGAAGGTTGCCAAGCTTCCTGTGTGGGCCAGCATGTTCACGAACGCTCATTCATGCTTGCTGACCCCACCTTGCGCATGCTCAAGTCCCATTCCGTGCCCTTACTTTGAGTGTGCTATTCTTGGCGCTCAGCTGCTGCTCCAGCTGTGAGATCTGGCTGGCCGAATTCTCCCGCAGTTTGGTGAGGCTGGCCTGGAGTCGCTGCACATCTTCCACCAGCTGGGCGATCTCCCGTTCTTTGGCAGCCAACTCTACTTCCAGGCTGGATCGGGTCAGCACCTCTATGGCCTGCTCCTAGGAAGAAGCAAGCAATGACGAAACAGCACCGGCTCTGGGGAGGGCAGCCTGGGGACCCGCCCACCTGCAGCTGGGGCGGGCACAGGTCACATAGGTATGGGGGGCACCAGCAGTCTCCAGGGCTGGACACAGCTTCCTGCCTTTGCATGGCTGTCACTGGGACCCGTCATTTGGGCAAATGTTTTCTTAGACTCTACCTGTACTAGGCACGGGGCAAATGAACCGAAGCACAAAAGCCTGTCTACTTCCGCTGCAGACCAGGCTGGCCTCGAACTCATGTCTGGAAAAAGGCTCTTACTTTAAAGTAGATTGGCCCAAGAAAGTCTCACTGAAGTGCAGACATGTGAGCAGAGACCTGAAGGGTGTGAGGTGGTGTTCAGTGGAGAAAGGAGTTCAACCAGAGGAAGAGCAAGGCTCAGACAGTACCTGGAACTTTGTGGAGACACTTGGGTTGTTTTTTTTTTTAACCCTGTAGTGGGAGCCAGTGTCCTCTTACCTACAACAAGCATGTTATTTGGCAAACTGAGTCCCGGTATTTTCCTTTTGCTGTCTGGTTTAATGAGGATGGCTCTCATGTACCTCAGGCTGGACTTGCTATGTAGGGAGGCTGGCTTTGAACTGCTGCATTTACCTCCCAAATGTTAGGATTATAGGTGTTCAACACCCTTCCAGACTAGAATAAAGAGTTTAAAGACAAGGAATACACACATTGGTGATTCCTATGCTTAGAAATGCTTACGATAAATGAGTGGTTTCTTTTATTCATTTATCTCCCACCCCATGTGCTCCCCCACCCCAGTGTGTGTGTGTGTGTGTGTGTGTGTGTGTGTGTGTGTGTGTGTGTGTGTGTGTGTGTGTGTGTCTAGGATAGAGGACAACTTTTAGGATTTAGTTCTCAGATTGGCAGGCTTAGCAGCAAGAGCCTTTACCGGTTGAACCATTGCTCTGGCCCTGGGTATTTGTTAAAAAATGTCTTCAGGGGCCGGAGAGAAGGGTCAGTCATTAAGAGCACTGGGCTGCCCTTCCAGAGGACCCAGGTTCTTTTCCCAGCACCCACACAGCTGCTCTCAACTGTCTTTAAGTCAAGTCCCAGGGCATCTAGCACCCTCTTCTGGTCTCCATGTACATAGTGCATGGAAGAGACACATGCAGGCAAAACACCCATTCACAAAAAATTAAGAAATAAAATATTCCAAGAATAGTAAAAGGGGGCTGGAGAGGTGACTCAGTGGTTCAGAGTGCTAGCTGCTCCTCCAGAGGAGCCAGGCTTGATTCCTAGGACTTACATAGTGGCTCACAACCATCTGAACTCTACTTCCAGGGATCTGATGCCCTCTTCTGGCCTCCATTGGCCCTGGACTCTCACACAGTGCACAAGCAGACAAAGTATCCATACACATCAAATAATTAAAAAGAAAACAACAAAACCCCTTCTATTACCCCCTAAAGTCTTGTGTGGAAAACGTGTAAATCAGAAAGTTATTTAAAGATGAGCCAAGTTCAGTCTGTAACTTGGTTTTCCATGACTCACGCAGTTCTTTCACCATGTGTGGTGGAGCACACACGTGATCTCAGCACTTGGGAGGCTGAGGTAGAGCATGGAGAGTTTGTCAGCCTGGGATACATACACAGTGATCCCCTGTACCCAAATACCAAAGAAGATACATTTTAAAAAGTAACCATGGCTCTTGGATAATTCTGGAAGCTTTTCTACAGAGTAGACACATTTAGGTCTGAACGATGTGAATTGGGGCTGGAGTGTGGCCTGCATAGAATGAAATAGTGTACACACACACACACACACACACACACACACACACACACACACACACACGACAAAGCATGATCCTTCATGCTGTGTCTAGTCTGTGCCCAGTGTGCTTATCCCAGAGCACATGTCACAAGGGGGACAGCTAGTGACTGAGGAAAGTGACTTGTCAGAGCTCCGTGTTCCTCTGACCTGGGCCCCTGAGCATCCCCTGCTGGCCTGTCTACAGCAGAGTCTACCCACACCACCCTGTCCACCATCTATCCTGGTGGGACACCTGTCTCAGGTGAGCTGGGCCTGTGAAGTAAGCCCAAGAATGGCAGGTAGGCAGAAGAGGCTCTAGAGCCAATTGGCATCCTGGTGCTTTCTTACTGTCTTAAAGACTATCCGTCTACAACAGAATGAAGACTTTAAAATGCAAAAGACTCACAAGAGGGTTTGCAAAGCCTAGCTGTGGCGCAGGAAGGGAACATGTGAGAGAACTGACCTGTGAGATTAGGTATGTGGGACACACCCATCGCCCAGCACTCAGTTAGTGGAGGTGGGAGGATTAGGAGGCTAAAGTGATCCTTTGCTACATGATGGCTTGGGGGCTAAGCACGGGCTGTCTTAGGAGACCCTGTCTCAAAATAAAAAAAGTGACCTGCAGGGAGGCCAGAGGTCAGCCTGGTGGTGTGTGCAGTATGAGTTATGCATGTTTTCTAACTGATCTGATCCATTCAGTTCTGAAGGGTGGCGACTCAAACCTGGTTTCAAGCATTCTTTGGCAGAGTCTATAAAACCAGCCAAAAAGTGATATAAGCCTAAGTAGATCAAGTAGATCAAGCCCAAGTTAAGGCATCAGGGATGGTGGTTCAAACGGTCTCTCTACATGCAGCAATTCTTGGATCCTGGGCATATCAGCTGACCCTCAGGTACTTGGCCCCAGATTCCTTGTTCAAGTCGACTGAAAGCACTGTTGCCCTCCAGGAGTCAAACAAGAAATGAGCATACACCCCAAACACGCTGTTGGTTGGCCCCTAGCTGTCTCCTACATGCAGAAACTCCAGTGAGACGGAAGAAATGGAGAAGGCCAGGGGCTGAGGTGGTGGGAGAAGTCTGAGCCTGGGAAATACTGCTGGGGACTGTTACTTGAGAGGCTAGGAATGGGAGGGAGAGGCATAACGGAGATAGGAAATGCACATCCAGAGGGAGAGGGTGAGGGCGGGTGCAGGCTAGCCTTTTGCTTCTTCCTTGTACCAGGAGAGGGGTTGGACCCAGCCTTGCTTCTCTTTCGTGCTGCACCTCAGTTCCTGTCTCCGCTTGGAGAGCAAGGTCAGCTGGGTGGCCCGGAGATGTGCTGCACAGATGGCCTTGCTTCCCAGTATTCCAGCTATGCTAGGCTCCAAAGGATGGCCAGGTGTGCTGCAGCTGTTCCTTGAACTAGTGTTTGTCTGCAGACCTCTCACAAGGCTCTCTTGGGCATCCTGTCTTGCTCAGTGCCCAGGAAAGGGCGGCAGGTAAATGGATGAAGGAAAGGGGCCTTTGAACTATGCGGCCCTTCCGTGGGTGCCTCCTGCTTCTGTGAGGCGCTCAGTGCATTGTTTATAGCTTTGCTACAGCTATGGATTCTACTCTTCCCCAGCTGAGCTCTGCCAGCCAAGCCCACCAGGCCGTTTTTTCCTGCTGGCTCTGTGCACGGCTGTGGTGGCCTCCATGGGAAGGCACAGACAGGGAAGCCCCCGCTCACTGGGAGACTGAAGCCAGGCCAGGTCAGGCTGCACTTAGCCCGTGATGAAGTGTGGAAGCCACCCCTGGCCCCACAACTGACTCGACCTGCAAAAACATTCATTTCCTTCTGGAATGTTTGGGTTTGCTGTGGCCCAGTAAGGTGCCAGGATTCTTTGTAATCCAAACATTTTAGCTCAGCAGCCCTGTTAGACATGCTAGGATGGATGGCTTCCTCCTGACCAAGGGCGGCTATAGAAGCTGGGAAGCTGCTGGCCCTGGTGCTGTCCCCAGGGCATTTACATTTGGGTAAGGAAGAATAAAGGGGACATTTCAGAGAAAACTAAGTTATTGTGTTCCTCAAGGCTGAAGGAAGTAACCGTCTCCTGCACAAGAACCTTTCTACTACACCCTGAAATGGTCAGGGCACTCCATAGTTAATATTATTATTATTTTTAAGACAGAGTCTTGTGGCTAGGTAGCCTAGCCCAGCCTATCCTGCCAATCCTCCTGCCTCAGCTTCCTGAGGGTTTTTGTTGTTTGTTTGAGATTGGGTTACATATAGCTCAGGCTGGTCTTGAACTTGCTATGTAGCTGAAAATGACCTTGAATTCCACATCTCCCTGGTTCTACTTCCCAGGTGCTAGGAATGCATGTGTTTGACACTCTGCCCAGCTCCAACCTCTGTTTACAGATACAGAAACAAGGTCAGGAAGACAGGGCTCTCTGGCCCACATCTCCAGTTCGGAGACCGCAGAGCTGGGGTCTGGACTAAGTGTTCCAGCACTGTCTTGCTCTGTCACTAGTGCCAGTTACTCAAGGTCACCCAAGGCACCCAGAACCACCTTGACCAAACTTGGATAGTCTTGTTAAGGACTTGAGGAAAGTCACATGGGACTGAGCATGTTACTGCACACCCGTAATCCCAGGACTCAGGAGGCTGAGGCAGGAGGATTGCCAACTGGAGGTTATCCTGAACCAATGTAGTGAGGCTTTGTCTCAGAAAATGAAAACAAAATGAGAAAAGAAAGCAGGGCTGGTGGGACGGCTGGCTCAGTGCAGTAATGTGCTTCCTGTGTAAGCCGGCCAACCTGAGCTGGAGGCTCAGAACCCACACCACAGAAGAAGAAAACGGACTCGGACAGTTGTCCTCTGGTCCTCACACATGTGCAGCTACTCCTACACCCACAAAATATAGAAATGACGGTAAAAAGAGAGAGAGGGAAGAGGAAAGTCTGGACCCTTGGGTCTCACTCTTCCTGGATGTTTGCTTCTCAGGTGAGATCCCAACCGCTGCATACATTCAGGGCCAGCTGCTACTTATGCCGCACTGGAAGGACAGCCTCAACTTCCTTGTGAAGTCCTGGGGAGGCGCTCCTTTCAGATCTGGTCACCCCTGGCCTCCACCACCACCAGGACATGTACATACACACCGGGGCCCCACCACAGCAACCATGAGGGCACCTGTGTATTACTGGGAGAGTGCTTCTGTCACCTCCCCAAGTTCTGTCCCCAAGCCACGAAGAATTCACAACTCTTTCGGTAACACTGTCAGTCTGTCAGGATCTAGACTCGCCTGTCACCAGACAGACCTCTGTGCATGTGTGAGGGAGTTCAGAGTGGGTTAGCTAAGGTGGGAGACCCACTCTAACTGGGGGGGTAGCACCCCAGGCTGGGGGCCTGGAGTTGATAAAAAGGAGAAAGGCAGCTAAGCAGCGGCCTTGGTCTCTGCATCCGGACTGCAGATGGGAGCAGCTGCGGCTCGTTCCTGCTGCCATGACGGACTGTACCCTTGAACCATGAGCTAAAGTAGACGCTCCACTCCGTTCTTCAAGTTTCCGGGTCAGGTATTTTGTTGCAGCAGTGAGAGAAGCAACCAATACACCCACCAAACAATCATTCCTGCTTCGACTGTTATCCCAAAAGGAAGAGGTGAAACAGGAGTGACGTGGGGGGGGGGGGCAGGGCCAGGGTTACCCACCACATCCGGAGCCTTCTGGATCTGTGAGGCCAGCTGGAGAGAGTGGTTGGCCGATGAGAGCTGTTCCCTCAGAGTCTCTGCCTCTCTCTGTGCCACCTCTGCCCTCTGAGGGAAACGAAAAGGGGTGAAGAGAAGAAAGTACATTTGGTTTAACAGCTGACAATTATTACAAGAACATTCATCAATTCATGCCTGACTGACTGTAATTGATTTTCCTAAACACTCAACCTAATAAATGCTATGGAAAAAAACACACACACACACCCTAGAATGTGATGGATTTTTATTTTAAACAGTACAAGGAAGAAATAATTGAGCGATTATGACAGTAATTTAACGCTAGGAGCGAGGAATCCCCTGCTGGTATTAATGCTCCGGCCCATTGCATTTCCCAGACTGAATAAATACCGCTGGAAATAGAGTCTTCTGATTCAATTTCTTTCTATTCTCATGGACCGAGGAGACTTTATCACAGGATTACTCCTGGGAGTCATTCTCATGGGTAAACACTGAATTAAAGACACTCTGGCCACCCCCCCCCCACACACACACAATGTTGTGGTTGTTTTCATCCATGGTACGTCTCCATAAGCGGACTATGGAACTCTAGCTTCTTTTGTGAGGGATGGGCTGGGTTCCACAGTTAACCCTCCATGGGGGAACATTTGCAGATATTGGCATATGCAGCTAGCCAGGCTGTTCTGGACCAGCAGTGAGTGGGCAGTCCAAGCTGGTGCTGGGAGCTTTAACAGAAATGGCTGTAACCTTTTGTAGTATTGTTGAGGACCCTGGATGAGGAAGCCATGGCTGCTGCAAACTCAGACTTGCCATTGGATAAAGAGGAGAGCCACTCTAGTACCTACCACTTAAGAGGCCATCTGGGAAGAGAGGCCACAGGGACAGCTACCTATGCTCCTGGGCCTCTACATACTCATCTGTAGAATGGGAACATTGTGCCTACTCAGACACCTGGGGTGGGCTCTATGTCCGCAGAAGTTTACCACAGGAGTAGTTTTTTTTAATCAGGCTTATCCAGGTCTTACTATTATGATTAAGACAAAACTAAGCCAGAAGCAATGGCAGCTAATGACACTGGGACTTGGACAGAGGGTGACATGGCACCTCTATACCCTCAGCAAGTTATATTCTGTCATAAAAAGTTAGCGAGGGAGGCAAGGCAGAAGGATTCTGAGTTTGAGGACAGCGTGGGCTGCACAGCGGGCTTTAAGGAAGCCTGGCAACACAGTGAGTTGAATGCTACCTGAGTTACACAGTGAGTTCAAAGCCAGCCTGGGCTATGCAGTGAGTTCAAGGCCAGCCTGAACTATACTGGGAAATCTTGTCTCAAAAAACCAAAGTAAAGAGTTGCCTACAGAATAAAACAGGAAAGGTTAACAAGAAAAGCCTGGCTGAGCAGGACTCTCCCACCAATTACCGAGAGAGAAGTCGCAAAGACGAAACCATGTGTTAGCCTGCCCTGGTGCGTGCTGGCTAATCTGCTTGTACGCTGACAGGGCTGGGTAGCTGAAGTGCCTTGGTGGCGGAAGCAGCAGTGAGCCCACATACAAAGAAGCCAGACTCCAAGGACAGTTTATCTGCCCAGGGCGGGGCTGGAAGGTGACTGCCCTGCTTCTTGGAGAGCTTGGGGAATGGCTTGGAATCTGCCACATCTATGCTCAAGTGTTTCCTGACACACTTCTGCTCTAGACAGGATGGAGAACCAACAAGAGTCTAGAACCAAAGGGACTGTAGAACCAACTGTCATGAAAAGGTTTTGGTATTGTGACAAGAATGGAGAGGCATGTCCGCTTCATGTTAACTATCCAATGAGTTCTTCTATTCCCAGCCTTTCGCTGAGGGATTCTAGGCAGGTGCTCTACCACTGAGCCACACCCCAGCCCCTCACTGGGGGATCCTAGGCAGGTGCTCTACCACTGAGCCACACCCCAGCCCCTCAC